TGATGAGAGCCCAGAAATGTTAGAAATCTTAACCTACCTGTATAATCTGTATACGTTTTCTAAGGGTTTTGAACTGATGAAAGGGGTCCTACGTGAGTCACACTATTGTAGGCTGGACTAGTTACAGCAGCTGTTAACGAGCATCGGGCACAACTCATACTGTGCTTACAATCAGATGACGCGGTTTGGAGGTTTTCAACTCTTGGATTTCAATCCTTCCTCGGCTTCCTTGGCTTCACATTGTTTTGCAGGAAAGAAAAGTTGTTGGTGTGCCCGTTCGCAGCAGCCACGGACCCGTTCTGGTGGTCCTTCAGGTGGTCTTTCCTCCGGGAGGCCCCCTTCCTGTTGTAGGTCTGAAATGCACAAGGGCGGATGACAGCCATGTGACCAGGAAGCAGTGTTCATTCCGGGGAGCTTTGCGGGGAACTGCCTCCCTAACCTTAGGCTTAGTTTCCTTTTATGATCAAATTTTACCAAGAAGAAACTAAATTTAAGGGCAAGTCTCCATAATCAAATTTTTTTGCCACTGCTTGCAATCACTCTTTCATCTTCTTGAGGCTTAGCCTTAGGTAAGTTCACTGAGTGGTAGGTGACAGGAGAAATACTAGTTGAAACACTGCACAGAACCTTTAACTTGCACTTTACTCTGCTTTTTTAGTATCTGGATGGCAGAGGACAGGGGGTAAGTGGTCATATTATTCTCCCGCCTGGCAGAGGCTGTCTTGACACTCACATCCCTTCATTTCAAAATTTCCTCTTTGCCTCAGTGACAATTTCAGTCCTCATGTACAAAGTGCTATGCTGCAGGAGGCAGTCAGAGCAAGCACGGGTCCAGCTCTATTGGGTCTTGGCCTTTCACCTTCCTGGTGTATGTCTCACAGCACAGCCATAAACCACTAAGCCCAGCAGCACATGACCTCAACCCAATTTCAACACACCACATACATGTGCTTGTGGGCACAGGGGAGAGAAGCAGCTAAGCTAGGACTCCTGGTCTCTGCCCTTGCATCTTCCTCAAATCAGTGTCTGCCAGGCACTGCTAAAGAAGCAGGAGCCCACGTCACCCAAGGGTGACAGGTGGCAGGAGAATCAGCAGTGGCTGCAAAGTGGTCAGGCTCCCCTGGAGATAATCTGCCAGTGTGGACCTTTCTGTGAGCAGAAACCTACATCATGTGCCTGGGAATCAGCTGAATCCCCAAACTTGAGCAGTAAATGCATAAGAAAACTGGGGCAAAATACGTAAGGACTGTGACAGAAATCTCTTCTGAAATTTCAAGTAGCCACAACGTTCAGTGTAGTAGGGCTCAGAGAAGCATTACAAGATCTTGCTGAACAGTTCTGCATTTCCTATGTGAACCCCCAGACTCCCCTGCCTGGGATCTAGAACACATTTTATTGTCTTCTAACTAGCCGGAAGCTCTTGAAGGCAGGGCTGTCCTGTGACTCCAGTGCCTGGCACCAGAAGGAAATCTACAGGTCCCTGTTAAATGAATAGACGAGGGCCTTTGCTGGTAGAGACCCAGCGAAGGGTGAGACTCACCTGAATATAGAAGTTTGTGAATAGAGCAATCAGGGAAATCATGTATCCGATCTGGAAATACAACCAACCGAGAGGGAATGTGCATGGCCAGATGACCCCACAGCTGGTCTGGATGATTGTCAGCACAAACTGAAGCTAGAGGAGGAAAGGGACATGGCTGAGCAGGGACAGCACACGGACCAGCTCCCATGTCAGATGGACTTTTACCCAGCAAGCCCTAGTTTCTGAATGAACATCTACGAACCTTCCTATAAGCCACTGTGGTCATTTCATAAACATGATGCATATGCTTGGTTTATCCCAAATTTTCTGTTTGTCTTATATATGCATATCCTCCCTCTCCTGTGCAAGAACTTAAACTACCTTCTCTAAAATTCAAGGCCACATTATTGAGACATGCAGGGTTTTTGCTTTGTTTTAAACATTTATTGTTTTTAAGAGAGGAAGGAAGGGTGAGGGGTGTTTATTTATAGGAAATCGATGACCTCACTGCAGGATGTATACCCTGGCTGGACACTCCCTACTCCTGAGCCAGCCATATACCCTTTTGGTTTGGTGAAGGCTCATGAATAAATTTAAACTATTACTGGCAAACAATGTGAAGTCCATAGAGTATTTCTGATGAGTAACCCTTGAAAAGCACGTGAACTGCTAGAAAAAACAGGGAAAAGGTGTTAAAATAAGGTGTGGACACTGGAGATTTGCATCTCCAGGAAGAGTAGCAACAAAGGGCTGGGGCCTGCCCATCCTCTTTCTGGCAGCTCTAATGGTTTCTACAGCTTTTTTTTCCTTCTTCTTAAAGTGACAAGGTCGCACTATCTATGTTTCCCTGGCCTGGACTTGAACTCAAGTGATCCTCCTGCTTCAGCCTCCCAAGTAGCTGGGACTACAGCCATGAGCCACCATACCCAGCTTTTTTTCCTTCTCTTTTATAACATTAGTACTCTGGGTTGAGAAGTAATTAGGAGTGGTACTTAAAAATCAATCCTGACAAACTTGTAATCCTCTACTTCAAAGTACAGAGCCCAAAATGAGAGCAGCTCCTCCAGTCTGTTCCTTTCAACTCTGTTTCTGCCTGGGGGAACGGCGGTGTGGTACAAATTGATCTCCGCATCATTTCTCAAGTGTAACAAGGAGATGAAAGAACAATTTTCCTTCCTTACAGATGGGTGAGAAAAAATTAACAAGGGCTGTAGAGCAGCTGGCAGAGAGGTGATAATGACATGACAAACACGTAAGTAGCTAAGAAGATTTTTCTCAGACCTCTTTTTCCCCCAAATAGTTATTTTTAAGTATTGTAAAAGCACAGTTTACTCAGAGGAATCTACATCAGCTTGGTTTGTTTAGAAAAACGTGTTGATAAGGCCAGGGTGAGGGGTTAATCTGCACCCCTCAGTCAGCTGGTTTTGGCCTACTGCCTCAGTGTCCCCATCCATAAACTGGGGACAGTAACATGAGGTCAGGCTACTGGAATAGTCCACATAAAACTGTTTATTTGGCAGGAGTGCCCAACACGCAGTGAACACTTAAATGTTAATATGTAACACAGCACTGGCAGTGCAGTAACTAGCTAATGAAAGAATTCATGAGGGAAGAGGAATTAGGGTCTATGATATACTGACAACTGGGGAAGGCTTAAGAAGGGATAGGAAGAAATAACCATCAGTACACAGTGAACTGTGACATCTGAAGCAGAGCAGCGTCACTGTTCCCAAAAGGTGCTCCACACCCCTACAGAAGGCCTAAGGGGTGTACAGAAGGCCAGAAGGTGTACCTGCCCCGGCAAGTACACTTGCTGCCTAATAAGCTCCAAGCACCTCAGACTCCTGCTACTTATTCCACAGCTCCTTCCGCAGCTCCTGGGACACAGATAAGCAGTGTCCACCTAGGATTATGGACTCTAATGAGGACATCCATGTACATGTATAACAGAGGGTGCCAAAAAATGTAAGTGCACATATTTTTTTTTTT